TCTGGAGCACGATTTGAGGCCAGACCTGGACACGGCTCTGGAGCACGATTTGAGTCCCAATCTGGACATGGTTCTGGAGCACGATTTGAGTCCAGATCTGGACAGGGTTCTGGAGCACGATCTGAGTCCAGATCTGGACACGGCTCTGGAGCACGACTTGAGTCCAGATCTGGACACGGTTCTGGAGCACGATTTGAGTCCAGATCTGGACACGGTTTTGGAGCATGATTTGAGTCCAGATCTGGATACGGTTCTGGAGCACGACTTGAGTCCAGATCTGGACACGGCTCTGGAGCACGATCTGAGTCCAGATCTGGACATGGCTCTGGAGCACGATCTGAGGCCAGATCTGGACACGGCTCTGGAGCACGATCTGAGGCCAGATCTGGACACGGTTCTGGAGCATGATCTGAGTCCAGATCTGGACACGGCTCTGGAGCACGATTTGAGTCCAGATCTGGACACGGTTCTGGAGCATGACTTGAGGCCAGATCTGGACACGGCTCTGGAGCACGACTTGAGTCCAGATCCGTAACCTCTGGCCCAAGCCAAAGGGGTTTGGGGTCCTGGCGACTCCCATCCCGTAGGACGGCCCCGTGCTCCGTGCTGGCCATGCCCCCAGCAGCTCCCCGGCACCGGGCCGGGCACTTTTGGCCCATCCCGGCGTTTCTCCCGTTCCGGTTTCGCCCGGAGCGGGCGGCTGGAGCCTTGCACTGGTGACGGGGCGGCCTTGGCGAACAAAGGGCGCTTTCTTCACCCGCACGGGGCAGAGCACACCTGCCCGCCTTGGCACCGCCGCCGGTGCCCCCGGGGCTGGGCGGCGCCGCCGGCACCGCGCCGATTCCCGGTTCCCGGGCGTCAGCAGCTCCCCAGCATCCCTCCCGCCCGCCCAGCCGCTGCCGGAGCCGGCGGAGGCTGCACGCTGGTGGGGAGCAGAGCCGCTGCCACCTCCTTGTCCCGTCCTCGTCGCCGCGGGATGCTCAGGGCCGCCTAGAGCCGGGGGAAGGTCCTGCTCGTGCTGCCGCTGCTCGCCGGGCCCCCCCGTCCCCGAATCCCAGCCCGCCGGGAGCCCCAGCTCGCAGGACGAAAGGCAGGAGGAGCACGGAGCTTCCCAAGCCAATGGATCAAAAACTCCAGCTCCAGCACGAGAAGAACATCCCCAGGGCCGCCAGGGCGCCTTTCTGCCTCCTGCAGATCCCGGAGCCGGACCCCTTCAGCCTGTGGGTTTAGGTGCTCCCGGAGCCCGCCCGGTTTCGCCTCTCCGGGACCCGGTGGCACCGGTGGAGACCCCGCTCGTCCTCGGCACTGGGGTCCCTGATGGACCCTCCAGGTAGCTGCGGGGCAGTGGGGATGCTCGCCGAGCTCCGGCTGGGATGGAGGACGGGGGACAATGTCCCACAATGTCCCCCTGGGGCAGTGTCACCCTCGGGGTGACCGCGAGGAGCGCAGGTGGTGGGGCAGCCTCGGAGCTGTGCTGGGGGAGCTTCCCGAGATGGATGGGGCTGGGTGGGAGAGGCTGGCGCTGGGGGGACAGGGTGGCTGTCCCCAGGGTGTCCCTGAGCGCCCCAGGGTGTCCCTGTACCCCAGGGTGCCCAGGCTCGGACATGGTGGCTGTCACCAGGGTGTCCCTGAGCCTCAGGGTGTCCCTGCGCCCCAGGGTGTCCCTGTGCGCCCCAGGGTGTCCCTGTGCCCCAGGGTGCCCCGGCTCGGACAGGGTGGCTGTCCCCAGGGTGTCCCTGTGCGCCC